TAGGACCTATCAAACCTAAATTTTTTAATTTGATGTAACGAATTGTTGGATTTCCTGTAACGAATTTAATTTGCTATAATTTTTTGAATTCGTTAACGAGTTTAATCTCTTGTATTGATAGGGTAAAGATAACGAACCGTGAACATTCTCATGAAAAGTTTAAACAATACAAAAATGTGAACAGGGTATAAATACGGACCACTGGGAATTACTGAGATAGAATCAAGTGCACAGGAGGAGAAAGCTTCCTCTGTTATCTGGTTTCATCCGCCATATTTATTGATGAATTATATTGAGATAACGGGCAGTTTTTAAGCTTTTAAAGTCAATAAAACAATACAAAATAGGAGCAGAGCAAACACGGACCTCCGAAACATCAGAGGTGGGATCAGGTGCAATGGAGGAGTGAGCATCTCCTGACGACGGTCACATACACGGTGAGCTCTTTGTCATGATAAGGAAATAAAGGGAAAATCCGCTGTAAATTCAATGTGTAAATAATGGCATAACAATTAGTATGAAAGACGTCAGTAACTCAATGACTTAATGATAAATTGTATTTGCAGACAAGGTCATTGTATCGACCATAGAACTTACGAAATGATGACTTTAAACGAGACTGCTGATATTCATGTTTCATCAACTCGTTTCAAAACGCAGTATATCTAAATGTCGAGTTAAAGGCTACAGCAACTAATTTCTTCTTTTCACGTATAAAATTTTGAGCAAATTTTGCTTCATGTTGATAAAAAAAATAGGTTTTCTAATAATGAGACGCATTTGGTACCCATGGAAATTCCAATAGATCGTTGAAAGACTGGTCTCCAAAAACTTCATAGATATTGTCAATCAGAAACTCAAGCATCTTTTTGATGTCAACTTCAGTGTACTTGTGTGTACAATCAATGTTTTTGAACAAAATAATTTTGCAAATGACCAATGACAAGGTAAGTAAATTTACGAGTTCCATTTTCATTGAAAAAGCACCTGTAAATATTATTTTTTAAAAAAGCCGCGACTTTAATTTATCGTGGGGAATGGTTGCGCAAATTTTTCAGCTGTTGATATTAGTAAAATCTTTTGATTTCAATTTTTTTCAAAAGTTCCTTTGAATTTGTAAGCATCTGCATCTGATTTACAACACTTCTCGAATATATTGTTACACAATACTCTTGAAGTTTCACCTTCACTACTGTTAATATTTTAGTGAGGAGTAAAGACAGAGGGTTACTTGAACATTTACTGGAATCCGCTAGGTATTTCTGATTGTTAGGAATTTAATGAAGTTTCGGAATCCAATAGAGGTATGATAATTTGAATTCATTATGGTTGTTTGGGATATCAAAAAAAAAAACAAAAAACATTCAAATCTGACAAATGATTTTGAAGAATGTTTCCTTAGAAAGAGAACTGATGAGTTTAAGTTTGATTACCACTTGTAGAATTAAATCCAAGTTTTTCTAAAATACACTTACAAACTAATACAATGTTGATACCTGCTTTGTTAGTAAGGATCAGTACGTACTTGTCATGTAATCTTGATATAGTAGACAGTCATTCTGTATTCAGATTTATATCAAAGAACAAAATAAGGCGTCACAAGTTGTGTGAAACAAGTCAGCAAAATACCACCAGATATTAGACTATATTAGCCAAAAACGTTATCATAACCACCACAGGATTTACAAAATATGCTGACTTCAAATGAGTTTGTTGAAATTCTATCAACTTCAGCTTATATGTGAATCGCTTGCTTTGGCTGGTAATGCCTAGGTCACATTTAAGCTGATGATCGGGCGAATAAATTTTTCTGGTCTTGTCGACTGAAAGAACATGATCGGCCGATACAGTATCGGGCGACACTGAGCAGTCACATTAATACCTATAGGGACACCGATGACTTGGATAAATAACACTAAAAAACCTTTTTTCTTTCGAATTCAGCAATATTTTTTATAGATCTATATTCAGATAGGTGACGTGAGTAATGTTTGCAAGGCAAAGTGGCAGAATCTTAAAAAAAATGTGACTCAATGTTGAAAAATTGTGTGCAAAATTTTGTATGGAATTGCATAAAAACGACAAATGGTGCATATCTAAGCAGCAAAGAATACTTAAGATTTCATTATATCTTACGGATTAATTATTCATGTTATTCCCATTCAAAAAAATTATATCAATCCATGCATCAAAATTTTGTTTATGTTATGTATCCTTACTAGGTTAAATATTCACAAGTCGGCCAATCGGCGTCCGATCATCGAGCTCAGAGCTACAGTTTGATTTTAAGCGTCGGCCGAAATTTTAAACACCCTTTTTGTCCAACGACGGACGACCGACTTGATAAACTGACCGCCGATGGTCGGACGATGATCGAAGGTTGGTCAACGGATAAATCAATTGAAGGAATCGGCCACCGACGCATTAAAAATTATAACTTGGAACGATGGACACAAAATTGGTCGGCCGACAAAAAAAGAGGTCAAAATCGGGCAAGACAACGGCCGATGAACTGACGATTGTCACCCGAAGAATCCCATTTTTGCTTCAAAACCCGTCGGCCGTTGGTTGTTTTTGGAAATGTGACTGGGGTTTTAAGGCCCTGTCACACCGACCTGCGTTCACACGGAGTCATTACGGCGTTGTTAAATTTTTTAAATCGCCGTGGAATCGCAGGAAAATTGCGCAAATTTCTGTAAAATTTTCACAATGTGAAGATGTCACGGCGTTCCTACTGCGACGGTCGCGATTCTACGGCGATCTCACGGCGATCTACTGCGTTCCCACGGAGATCTCTCGGCGACTGACTGCGCTTCCGCGGAGTTTTCACGGCGCGTTAGGAGTTTTCACCTCGTGTTCACGGCGTTCTCACTGCGCTGGCTGCGTTCACAATACGTTCACAATGCGTTCTATACTCATTGATATATATTCAGAAGGAATGTAAAACATTTTTGTTTAAAGATTCAAGTTACACGATGAAAAGACTTCTTATCATGCCAAGAAAAAATTCTTAATAATTAAAAATGTTCTATTTAAATAATTTAGTACTAAATTATTAATACTTTTATGATTAAACTCTTTTTTTTTTCAATTTTATCGGTTCAGATGTGTTGTTAGATTTTCTTTGATTTTATTATGAACGTAAAAAAAAAATAAACACACTGAAAAGTTTTCTACAAAATTTAAGTGAAACAGCAGAACAAGTTCTGGTGTAATTTTCTCTTCCATGTTTTACTTATATGCTCCTAGTGAATCAAATACGTTGGAATTATGATCCCATTGCTCTTGTTTTGTGAGCTGGCTAACAACGCTCTAACAACGCCGTGAAAGCGCATTGTGATCGCCAACGGACGCTGTAGAAACGCCACGAGAGCGCAACGATCGCGGTGACAACTCCGTGCTGTCGCCGTGTAATCGCTGTCGGAAAAATAACAAGACGATAAATCTCATTAGAAGCGCCGTAAAAACGCGATAGAAACGCAGTGACATCTCCAAGGACTCCGCGACATCTCCGTGAGGTCTCCGTGGAAGCGCAGTCTACTATCACTGCGTTCGTACCGCGATCATGTGCGTCTTCACGGCGTTTGTACGGAGCTCCCACTACGTTGTTGGAGATCTCACCGCGCTGCTACAGCGATCATACTACGTTTCTACTGCGTTCTTATCAGACCGCGATCACACGGCGCGTACTTTGTGCATGCCCAAAGTGATCGCCGTCCTCTGGCGTTCTAGGAGACCCGACGCGACCCTACGGCGTTCAATGGAGATCTCGCCGCGTTGTCACGGCGCTGTAGGAGACTCTACTGCGATCACCTCGGCGTTTTGCATTTTTTGAGGACGCCGTGCAGTCGCCGTAAGGACGCAGCCCCGGTGTGACAGGAGTTTAAAGGAGCACAAACAGAGTCCATCGGGATAAGGTTTTGAAGACTACATGTACGTATATGTTGCTCATGAGGAACTCCAGCATCCTTTTAAAATCAACCTCAGGGTACTTGTTTGTAGAGTCAATGATTTTGGACGAATTAAATTTGTTTAAGAACAATAACAACATGTAAACATTTTCAATTTCGTTTTTATTGAAGAAGTTGTCTGTGATTTAAAAAGATACAACGAGAGAGAATGTTGTATAGAGTGTATTATAAAATATTCGTTTTGATGTTATTTACTTTTTAGGTAGTTGATGACTCACGCTATAAAGTAACTTATGGTACAAAATTTGAAAACACATTATTCATTTTTATCGACTGTCAAAGCTCATATATATTTTAGATTTGAATAAATCCAACTTGATTTGATAGTTTAGACGATCAATATAAATGGCGACAGTATGAAAAATAAGTGGACCAGCGGACGAACAGTCTGAGGGATATTTCACCTTAAACTTCATGTATGAATGATTTATACTGATGATTTTAGCGATTTAAACGCCAAAATACGCCTGTTTACTTTTAGTTTTTACATACGCACATGTATGTTACATATATATTAGCTGTAAATCTGTAGCGTTATGGTTTTAAATATTAGTCTTTGCCCATAAAGCTACAGATTCCGCGATGCAAATATTGTGTAATTTATATTTCTGTACACGGTTTGGAAGAAATTCTCCACTTTTCAGCATTGATAATATTACAACCTTTCACTCCCTAATTTTAGACATATTTTTTATATACCTCCTAACCTTCTACAATAATAAACTCGCCTGTTATGAATTTTTGTTGCATGACGGAAAATGCAAAACAAGCGAGTTTAATAGTCTAGCGAGACGAGTGTACATGTAAAGGGTCAGTGGTTAAAAATACGTCTAAAATTAGAGAGGTAGTTGAATGAACAACGCAACGGATCTGCTGCTAGTAACATATATATCTGCCTTTAATTTCAAACGAAACACAAAAGTAAGAATTCGTTGACAATTTTTATGAGTCGAAGTTGAACTGAGAAATAGGAACAGCAAAACAACATTCTACGAAAAGAATCAAAAGGATTCCTTGCCAAAGAAAAGAAACTTGACGGATTTGGAATTGGTTCAGCTTTCAAATGTACAACAAACAAGACAGTAAAGCAATTGTTTTTCATTCGATCAACTTAAGTTACTCAGGGGGTAATTTGAGAGGATACCATTTTCGGATGGAGTGGCAATTTCGATTAGATTTATGCAACGCAAACAAATTCATTTCATGTAAAATTAGAGACACTAGCTTGTTCCTCTTTTTTTCAATATTTCAATTTGATGAAAACGGAACATGTCAAAATATTGGATAAAGATTTAATTAAAATTGTCTTGTGATTGTTTTGAAGGGCTAGACATCTATTAATGTTTATAGATTTGAACAAAAGAAATTTCAAACATGAATGTTTTGTCAATCTTTGGCCATTTCTAACTGTTCTTGATGTTCTAAATAGAGAAGTTTTCATGTCTTCCAACATCGTCGCTTATAGTGATATCAGAACTATTTAAATATAAGTAGTCTCTCATGTAATCAGAATGTCATGTACTAAAAGCCCGAGCCAAAGGTCAATTGCATCTCTCAATGTCCTATTGAACAACATACGAGATCCTATGTATTGTGTTTCATTGTTAGAACAACTGACACAAGTTAAATATTTGTATAATTCAGAAAATACAAAATTTTATGTCTTACAAAACATACATTGATTGTTTAATCTTTTTACGAACTTTCGTTATAATAGACCTTATTTAAGGAGATTTTTGCCGGGGGTACATTTAATAACAATGTTGTATATATAGCCCTTTGGGTTTTATTCTTAGATTACAGAATCTTCAGAATCTTTATATGATTTGTAAATCACCATAAATAGGACATGCACACAATGCAAAGCTCTATGAAAATGATGTCACCATATTCTTTTCCTTTTCTGACTTCACATTATTTGCTGCTAAGACCACAATTTCGACAGTCACCACTAGTGCGTACAAAGCACCAGCAGTGGTGGAGATGAAGAACCCGGATGATAGCTCCAGTTTGTCTGTGGGGTAGTAGTTTTTTGGATCTTTCGCATTGATAGAGAAAATTTCTCTGTGTTGATATTCATACAGAAGGGAACCCACCAGTACCTCTATAGCTGCAAAATCCAAACAGAATGGTAATTGTTTTAAATAAAATACAAGAACATTAAAGGGGAACAAACTTATTTTTACCGCGAATTGAAAAATATATAAGGAAAAAACATGCAAAGGGGGATAAAAATGAAAAGCAAATAGTATAGCAATTCTTAATACATTTAAACAGATCACCTGCTAAGAGACTAAAACAAATTCCAAAAAGTCGACAGATTCCTGCTAACAGGGCCATCTTGCGAGTAATCGACGACAGCAAAAGCAAGAATAAACCGAGCAACCCTGCTACAATACAAGTAACCTCTACATTCTGTAGGTCTTTCTTCCAACCTGTAAGATGCAAAGCCATTTGTTCATAATCCATTAAAAGTACATGTATCTGTTTTTTCAAGTTTTGTTTCGTAACTCTGAAATTTTAAATTGTCGTTTTCCATATATACATGTATTTTGTTCAGGTATGTCCATCTATAGAAATCAGATTTATATGTAGCACTTTTATAAATGTATGAGGGTGCTTATTTACCAAAATATCTTGAAAAAGTTTTTGTTTATGTACATTAATTGATTTTAAAAATCCCGATGAGAAGAAAACAACCACGCAAATAAACAAAAACCCCAAACAAACATGCAAATCAAATTACAAAACAAAAGAAAACTCGAGATTTCCAATTCTTTACGTGAATACATGCTTCAATATTTACTAAAAAGTGTGGCTATCTTATGTTTTGTAGGATTTTCAAAGTAATTTATTTAACATTCCTATGGATTCATCACATTTTGTATCCTCTATTACCAAGATTGTTTAAACTGGTTCAATATTTGATATTTTTGCATAAGAAAATCGATTTCAAATATCCTTTCAAAGTACTTTTTAAAACTTTTTTTTTACTATTTACACATTGTATTTATTTATTTATTATCAATTGTTGTTGTAGTAACTAGAAATGGTGTAATATGAAATCGAAATATTGATAGAAATGACATGTTATTGCTGGGAATGAACAATTATATACTAGGTGATGTGTTTGATATGTCATATGACTTGAACTTGAAAAAAATAGGGATCTAAATAAGATCAAGGACAGGTGTAAAATATATTCAATGGACATTCTATAACAATAACCTACCGACATTCATCTTCGACTTTTCTTTTGGGAAGGCTCCAGCTTGCCCATCCTCAAGGATATTAACTGTCCACAGGTTTTGATACGCCCTGATGGTGTATGTAAAGTAGTTTGTGTTTATCTCACTCCACACCGGAAGTGCAACCGACACGGACTGGATAGCTATAGCCACTCCAAGCAGAATTAAAGTAAATGCACGATATTTAGTCACTCCACACTTTGTGCAACAAGACATTTTGTAAAGAAGAAGATCTTTAAAAAATAAATTATACAAATTTTAAATTACACTTCCGCTAACAAGGATTGTTTTTAGACTTTAAAAGGGGAGAGCTTTGGCTATTGAAAAGTGTTGTCAAATTAAAACATTGTTATCACTCACTCTGTTTGTTTTATCTCGTATTCGGTGATGCTAAAACCATGGGCAGGATATATCCTACAATTCCATGGTTTAGTTCTTACGATTTATTAAATTCCGTAGTTATACAAGTTAATGCATGTCAAACAACCTTAATATATTGATTCCCAATGTAGAAAGTGGAGACCGGTCCTTCGGATGAGACCGTATAGACCGAGGCCCCTTGTCGCAGTAGGTGTTGGCACAAAAATAAAGATCCCTCACAGCTCAATAGCACTAATTATAAGTGCCAAATATAAGATAAAATTTGCAGCTCTCCATTGGCTTGTGTTGCGTCTCCATATGAGTGAAAAATTCCTGAGAGGAACGTTAAACAACAAACAAAATCCAATTTGAAAATTATGATTCTTTTCATAAAAGAAAACATTGCAATTGTTTTGCATACAAAATCCCCGGTCATGAAAAGAAGAAAATTATATTTTCTCAAATCAAATGATGTGGATAATTTATCTCAATATTATCTTATTGGTCATTTAATTTTCTATGACAATTCATATAACTTATTTTCTTTTTTTTTAATCATATAGTTCCTGTAGTAAAAAGGGTTCTCAAATGAATAAATTATAAATATCAACCTTCGCGATTACAATGTAATTCGGGTGTAGCTTTGTTCTGAAAAGAAGAGAATTTACCACTGATAAGTCTGGCACAGTTAAGATTTATTGTGTTCTTTTATTTACTATTGATTTGCCCGTCCCTGATATCATCTTCCCAAGGCCTTATCTTTAAATTGGACATTTCTGCAACCTAATATGGAAGTCGTAAATACATAATCTAGCGGGTAAACTGGTTTGTACACAGCAAATAAGTCCTTTCGGGATTTTGAATAAAACTCAAACATTTACAATGGAACTAAAGAGTAAATATTCAATATTGTAAAGTTTATCTGTTTAAAATTATTTTGGTGATAAAAGTGAAAAATATTGATTTATTTTGCTTAATATGTTCAATGCTGATATGGGCAAACTTGTTTATTTTAATTATCATATTCTTATATACGAAGCCACTTCAGAGTTACCTTGTGTTATAATGTCAATTTATATGCAATTCTTTTACATTGTCACGATATATATCAACGCCTTATTTCTCTATTTCTACAAACGTATGAAATCTGAAAACTGCAAAAAAGCACATTTCAATATTCAATTATTCAACGCTTTGTATTATCTTAGGGTTGTATGATTTAGTACTAATATGACAGAGCTTTAGATGACGTGAATTTAGAGTTTGGTCAAGATTTTGTCAGTCGTGGAAAGAAATTGAGTTGAAAAATATTAGTTTTATTTTCATTTTAGAAAATTCCTTGTTAAACTTTGCATGAAAATCAATGACTTTTTTTGAAAAATAGAAATAAATTAACTTTTTATATATTTTATTTTTATTCATTTATATATATATATATATATATATATATATATATATATATATATATATATATATATATATATATATATATATATATATATATATATATATATATAAAAAGCACTAAAAAAACCAACAACACTGTATATCCTAAATGTCGGATCTATCAAGTAGATACAAGGTCACGGATGGAAATTTATAAAAAGCACTAAAAATGACCAACGACACGAACAATAAAAATTGTCGAATTTTCGGGACGCCCGATACCCGATAGACCGGACGCATTTCATAGCGGTCCAAATTCTTTCTTTAATAGTGTTCTTAAAAATTTCCAAATCAACATGTAACTAAGTATGTAAATATATAGTGTTTAGTAGTTTAGTAGTAGTGCTAGTTGTTTTTTGTTTCGCTTTTTCCTTTGTTCTTATGACTTTTTAACTCTTTTCTTTGTCCTGAGGAAGGGACAGGGCGTCCCGAAAATTCGACAATTTTTATTGTTCGTGTCGTTGGTCATTTTTAGTGCTTTATATATATATATATATATATATATATATATATATATATATATATATATATATATATATATATATATATATATATATATATATAGTATCTTTAAAAATCCCATTCAGAAGATTTTAAAAGCTTTGATGGCCAATATTTGTTATGTGATAGTAAATATCTTTATTGTGCAAAAATAGGGGGAAACTATCTTTCACAGCCTAAACTATTTAAAATTTATGTACACAAAATCTGACATTCTTATTTAAAAAAAACCCCAACAATTTCATAAAAAAGGAGAAGTATCTATCATCCCAAAAGCCTTTGGCAAAGGTTTTTGGGCTAATTAAAATCCCAATTGATTTTTTTAAAATTCATTGAAATTGACTCCTCCCTCACAAAAAGATATAAAATAACCTTATGAGGATAAATTGATATAATTTACTATGATAAATACATGTATCTACATTGTACATCCATATAGCCTCTGATTAGATGATCCAAGTGGCTTCTGATTAGATTAATAACAATTTTAGTAAAACACAGACCAACCGGCAAAATATTTTTCTTCAATGTTCATATTGAAAAAAAAACAATACATTGTAGATGGAATTCAGGATGCTTGTAGTATGTGATTTATTTAAACGATACTTACATTAATAGTAAGTACCCTTTATTTTGGGGAAAAAAGAATTCTCTAGTCCATCTTTGTTATCAATTTGAAGGAAAAGCTAGGACACTTTCATTGTTAACATTAATCAATCAAGCATTGATCAGTACTTGTGAAAATCTATGATATAAGATACATTGACAAGAGAAAACGACAACGGGGTACCGAAGTGATTTGAAAAATTACCCTGTGTTTAACTCAATGTCACAACCAAGTTTGTTTAAACGACAGAAGCGAAACAAATGGTTCATCGTTAAATTGTTTAGACCGATCGAAATTGAGTAATGGTAGATATCGTATGTTCCCAGTCAGGGACAACATAGATAAGTAGTCGACGACAAAGATTTTTGGCAGATGCTTCTAATAACTAAATACATATCCCCAAAGCTTTCGTGCTACGATTAATTTTCCGTGGGTCTAAATGTATTGACTTTTGGATTTAGATACTTTATGAAATCATCACATGTAACCTTAACAATCAATCTATCTAAACTGCTGAAAGATAAGGGTGGGAAGAGTTTTCATGTCACGTTCAAGAAGAATTGATTTTTACACAGATTGCAAACTATCACTTAATTTGTCAAATATCAGAAAAACAATGTCATTGTCTCAGAACTCAAGAGCATTAAGTATGTAAATTTTTTATTACATTTATATTGACGTATCACATTATTTCAAAGTAGCAAAAAATGGTTTGGAGTTAATTTTTTTCATCCGGTTTCTTGTCTAGGTTGTTCAGTGGCTGTATCCCTCTGTGACTGGAGTCTTTACTATCCGCTATGATCAGCTGACTGATTTCAATCACGGCGGATGTAGACAGTAGGACACTGCTGACCACGGACAGTATGAAGCCGTAGGACACCCTCTCGTCCTGTATAGGGTAGTTACTGGCCGGATTCCGCGCATTGAAAGAAAACATCTTCACTTTCTGGTAGTTGTATAACAGAGCTCCGATTATTATCAATAAACCTGAAATAAAAAAATAAAAGTATATACCGGTATTCCATAATAAGAATTTAATTAATTTAAATTTCTAATGTAATAAAAGCAAACCTCTTTTATTATGAATATTTATAAAAGATTACTTGTCACAATAGTCGTTATGATTGCCAGAGCCCGAAATATTCCAGCTACAATAGTTTTTGTTGCTACCACGGTTAACACAGAGACTGACAGCAACAATGAAAGCGAGGTCAGTCCAAGCACGATGCACATTATTTCTATGATCTGCAAATCCTTCTTCCATTCTGCAATGAAGACAAGAAAATCATTATAATGTACGCATATATAGTACAGGTGGTCTTGTTTTGGAAGTATAACGCATCAGATAAAATTCTGAAGCATGGAAAATATCAAATGAAACAAACTAGTCAAAATAAGGCTCAGAAGTTCATTAAAACGATACAAAGAGGGAACAGACCACACATGAACCTAAAATAAATCAGAGATGGGATCAGGTGCCATGGAGGAAGAGACATTCTTGTCGATCGACCACACCCACCGTGTGCTCTTTATCATGGTCGGGTAAATGAAGAAATTTAAGTGTGAACTTCAAAGTACTTGCCTAATAATTAGTACATGTATGAAAAACTTTATTTAGCATTGCATTTGCTGATAAGGTCAGTGTAGAATATAAAACTTGCAAATGAATTATTCCCTACGAGATTTTTGGTATGTCTTTTTTTCATAAATTCCCCGGTTATTACCTTGCTTCGCTTTAAAACTTCATCGTTCATGGAGATGTTCTTTCATATCGAATCAGCTTGGAGACAAAAAATCCATATGCAGGAATACGAGAGTGATTTTAAGGTAAATCGCGAATTAATTAATTAGGTTTTAGTGCGTTTTCTACTTAATTTTACTGGGCACCAAAAGAAACACCATGTTAACCATCCCCCTTCCTTAACAATCAATTCAATTAATGATTGGCATCATTTTCTCTTTGTGACCTCATAAACATTGACCAAACATTAAGTAACATTTGCCTTTTATAATAAAACATGATTATGGCTATTTGTGTGCCAAATATATAGTTCGCTACCCTCGAATTGCTATACAAAAAAAGGTTCAAAGAAAGAAAAGTTGAAATCATGTTTATCATAAAATGAGTTCATAGGTAACAATTTATGTTTTTTCCAGTGAAATACTGTAAATCACTTTTTATTCGCGGGAACTTACTTTTCGCGTAATTACACGAGACAGTTTGCGATAGAATAATAACCACAATTGTGAAAATTTTGTCTCGCTTATCATAATTAATGCCAATCTCGCGAAAAAAGGTTTTTCGAAAATTTAGTGATCTACAGTTTCCCAAAAAAGAAAGATGCTTTGTGGGGTTTCATAACGTTATGCGAGGTGTGAAAAATATTCACAAATTTCATGTAATGCTTTTTAAAAAAATAATATGTACATGTATTTTTTCATTCATATTTTCAAAATATTAACAGTTTTAGATTCAGGTTGTAATGCAACAGAAGAATTGGATGCATTTTTACCATAATAGTATCCAAGTTTTATATTTATACTGATTCACAAAATGAATTCCATCTCATCACGAGGTTGGTAAGTAAGGAAACTATTTAATGTAATCTAAGATTGTAAAACGATAACAAAAAGTCAACCTTAACTTAACCTTCAATTGATATCACATTCTAGTGCGTACATCTCTTCATTATTATTATTATATTTCTAATTGTTTTATCCTAATTTGTAGTTGTATGTAACGTTATCAAGAACAGTGGGATTTATCCAAAGCATTGTTGAGGACCTAATCCAAAGCAGGTGTTTGGATACAAGGAAATAATTGCGACATTCTATAAACAACGGTGTTTAAAATCCAAACTCAGAACTATACCAAAGTTTAACGAATCCTTGATAATCCTTTGTTCTCCTTTTCAAACAATTTGATGATACTTGCAAACTTACTATCCGACACTGGGCTTTACTCAATACTTGTATAAATATAGATATATATCTTGTTGTAGTGTTAAATCTAAGGATGTAAATTTGTTAGCTCGATGAGGGAAGGATATGGAGATAACGAACAGTATTCAATCTCAAAGTCCATAAAACAATACAAAATAAGAGCAGAGCAAACACGGACCCCCGAAACATCAGAGGTGGGATCAGGTGCCATGGAGGAGTGAGCTTCACCTGCCGACCGGTCACACCCGCCGTGTGCTCCTTGTCACGATCAGGAAATAACGGAAAAAATCCGTCGTCAATTCAGTGTATAAATAATGGACTAACAATTGGTATGAAAAAAGTCAGTCAGCATTTGACTCAGTGATAAATTGTATTTGCTGACAAGGTCATTGTATCGACCATAAAACTTACGAAATGATGACTTTAAACGAAACTGCTGATATTCTTGTTTCATCAACTTGCTTGTCAATAATTTACCTCGTTTTAGAAATTGTTCATACGTAGAGCATGCTCTTGCGTATCGAATCAACTGAGATATATATATTCCGTATGCAGGTGATGAAGGTATATTGCTGCATAAGTAAGGGAAGTTGACGATAGAAAAGTCACGTTTATCATTTAGTTTGGTTGTTAGATTACCATTAGTGTCTTTTTCAAGTAAAATATCCTAGTATGAAACAGAAGTGTCAGACTCTGTGGTATCTTTTATCTCAAGCTCACGTGCACCAGAATATATCGTATCGACGTAGGAATGGAAATTACAATTATTTATTGACAATATGTCGTCGATATATCTGAATGTCGAGTTGAAGGCCACAGCAAGTGTTTTCTTCTTTTCACACATAAGATTTAGCATAAATTCTGCTTCATATGAATATAAAAATAAGTCTGCTAATAACGAAGCACAATTTGTACCCATGGGAATTCCAATAGATTGTTGGAACACCTGGTCTCCAAAAACCACATAGATATTGTCAATCAGAAACCCAAGCATCTTCTTGATGTCAACTTTAGAGTACTTATATATAAGATATAATCTTAGCAATATCATGCTCTTGAAGATGAATTTACGCACATGTTTTCATGGTAGACCCATGTGTTTTAGATAATTGCCTTCTTTGCATAATATTGCATATATTAGTTGAATTAAAAATAGTGAACATTCAATTAGAACTCAAATCTAAATTAGTTTAATAAAAATATAAGTATTTTCTTCCAAATTTCAATTAACAGAATTTAACAGAAACCTGACAAAATTATAATATTACAGGGAAAATAATAATTTTTTGCCATATTTAGTGTGTTCAAGCTATTTTGTAAAGGAATAAATTTAAACTCTGTAAGAGTGTTGCAAATTATGAATATTTTTCATAAATTAAAAGTTGAGACTTTTGGAGAAAGGAATGGGTTGCCTGAAATTTTGGAATGAACTTCCAACACACATAAATGTTGCTCAAAGTAGGGATACATGTCTTCAAAAAGTGCTATAAAAACAAACTTTGTTAAGCTTTTCCTGAGTTTTGAACACTATGATTTCTATTTTTTAATTGTTTTAAATACTGCTTTTAAACTCGTTTGTATCTTTTTTTCTTTAGCATAATATTAATACATGAGAAATTTTTGTAATTGTAATTATTTGATTGCTTTATGTTATTAAATTTAATTTTTGCATTTTCTTGTATGCATCTTTATTTTTATGCATCTTTCAATTTCTTATTCTTTTAAAGCTTTAATTACCATTTTGTACATTTATTTTACTACATGTACAGTTTGATTGTGTAGCAACCCGGAGTTATTTTTTATTATACAGGGCACTTTGAAAATGTTTTATTATGTTTAATATTATTATTTGTGTGTTATAAAGAGAAAATGTTATAATATAAAAAGATATTTTTCACATAAATGAAATAAATTGCTATTTGCATGCACCCATATTTTTCACCCTTAAAAAGTTGTTTCTGTTTGCAAATGATATTACAATACCAAATTATAAAATAAAATTACACCGAAATGTATACAGCTGCATTCAAAAATAAATAATTCGGGAAAATGTAACAGTGTATGCTTTATTCTTGGAAACCCTAGTTCTCACATAGTTTATATTCAATATATTCTTAAAATTATTATATGTAATGGATTCGTGGGGGAAATGGTGACACAAGGAACAATTGTAATAAGCCTTGACTGACCTATTGAAATTCCTTTGAAATAAAGGGGTAAAATATATTTACAACTTTAAAACACTAATTAATTCTATTCGATATATTTCGTCAGCGTGTATAAACGTGTACAATATATACATATGCTTTGAGCATTTCTTTTGAAAAACACACGCATAAAAAGAAAGAAAATGAAAGAAAGAAACAAAAAGAAAAAAGAAAGAAAAAGGTTCCAGTTCTCACCCAAGTGAGTGTTGACTCGGCTATTTTAAAGTATTGTTATGATAGAGCGTGTTTAACTGACAAAATCCAATGGTAACGGGAAAAAAAAACTTACCAACTTCCATGTTTTTAGGTTTTGGGTATGCTGACGGTGTGTCTTGTATTACGCATTCTGTCCAAAGACTCTGGTAGGCCTTAATAGAGAGACCATGATATTCTGAGTCTATTTCACTCCATTTGTTTGCTGCAACTGCAACTATCTGGAAGATGAAAGCAAATGATAGAAGAATGATCGAAATTATTCGAAGTTTTGAAAGTCCTTGTTTTGTTAAGAAAGCCATTGTTCTTCTTTAAATGATAATGAAAAATAGAGTTTTTACTCTTGCTCGATTTGATATTTATAGACACCAGACAATTAAAGAATTAGAACGAAAGTTCTATGATTAAGGATCTTATTACATTTTACTTGGGAATATCAAACATTTATCTCATCATGAAGGGTATACATGTTTAATTTTGACTGTAATTGTTGATTTTGTAAGCTCATCTACGATTATTTGCTAAGTGATATCTTATAATAATTGATAACAATGAAAAGCGAAAGATAGCTTCTTCATTTAAACGATAATATTAAAAGTGTCCAACTCAAATGATCAGCACAAAGGCTAAAGTAACAAATAGTCTTATCACTGGGTCCATAATAGCCTAATCACTAGACCCAGTATAAAAATAATTTAAAAAAGTGTAAATTATATTTTTTCCGGTCAGGTGGAGTAGCAATTCTTATTTAAATTACTCGAGATTAGAAAATGACAACGTATGGTAAAGACCGATTCTGGCCCCTTATTTGATGTAAAAATCATGTTTTCATTTTTATATCAAACAAGCAAATTCAAAGAATTGTGGTCCTCAGCTTTCTGTGTCTTTGTGGGTGATATGTCAAATGTTATGGCTTATCGTGTCAAATATGAACGCCCTTTCATATGTCATTCAGAAGTTATCACCGAAGTTGATTTATTTTAATTAGGTCAATCGTGAAGGTCAATTGCAAGGGGTAAGGGATCATAGCATGATCGGATATTAATTCACAGGAAATGCATATGGAATAGACGAATAGGCAAGCTTGAAAAATTATGTGCAATTTAATCGATAAAAATTGCAGAAAAAATATACAATTTTTAAATTTACATATTTTCTTACCTCTCTCTGACCTATGTGCAACCAGTAACTTAGAAACAATACTCATTCTGTGGCAGGGGCGACAATAGGGTTTTATTTTTACACCGGTGCATCATTTTGAAAGACGCCCCAAATCAGTGGCCAAAAACGGGCCTAAGCCTAACTTGTCCTTTCTACGATGTCGTTCATATTGTAATCAGTCAGCTAAAAGGGGAAGAAGAGATGTCTTTGTTATAGTTTCTGTAAATATATATCCAGACAAATTTCAAATTCTACACCATGATGATAGGAACGTACCGGTAGTTTTCATGAGTTCGTTTTAAAAAAGAACTTACGATTAAGACCAAAATTTAATTCTGTTAAAAACTTTCAAGAAAAAATTCAGAGTAGAAATGTTCGAAAGTAAAACCCACTTACTAATATGGCCACGTAGTTCGGGTCAAAATACTATATATCGGGAAAGAGGGAATGTTGGTAGTGAAAATGAGTGGCGCTCTTAGCTGGAAATAGTAAAGGCGTATTCCTAAGACATTCCCGAATGCACATATTAGAAATCCAAATAGGTAATTAAGTTTCCGAGTTCATTTGACCAAAAAATGTATATTTATTGCAATATTTCATGATTATCTTTCAAAACAATGGAGCAAAGACCCACTCATATTGAAAACGTTTGCTAAAGAATGAGAAAATGATCGATTTTGTTCTTTTTGGTGTGTGTATGCTTTTTCGTAGGCAAATATTTTCAGTCTTGGTGAGATTTTTGAAAATTGTAGAGATTTTACATATAAAGTGTATACTTTAATATTAGATGAAATATCAAATAAAATTTAGATTATAATTGAATCTTTCACTTAATACCTGCCGCACTATAGGCAGTTCGTCTGTCTTACAGCCCCCCCCCCCCCCCCCCCCCCCCCCCCCCCCCCCCCCCCCCCCCACCCCCATCCCGTCTTTTTAAAACTGATTTTATTCTTTTTTTATACGAATGAAACAAATTATTTTTACACTAGCAATTTTCATCAGAATAGTTTATTTGTCAAAATTTATCATAAATTCAACTTTCTGGTTTTAGTCGTACGTTCTTTTGTTAAATGAGTCCAAGACGTTATAAATGGAAATCAACTTAATGGTACACTTTAAACTTATTAGCTTTATCACCAGCATACGGGGTTTTATCTTTCAGCTGATTCAATACACATGAGGATGCTCTACAAATAAACAATTTCTAAAACGAGGTAAGTTATTGACAAACAAGTTGATGAATAAAAAATATTAGAAACAACAATCTTGCCAGTAAAAGCAATTTATCATTGAGTGAAATGCTGACCTACGTTTTTATACTAATTATGAAGACATTATTCACATACTGAAATGTCGACGGATTTTTTCGTTATTTCCCGAACATGTGAAAGTTCAGGATTCGTCAATCAAACGCGTTCCAAAATTCGTAATTAATAATTTCCATAAATTTTTTTTGTAATATTTTCATGAGAAGTACTTAAGGAACATAAAAAAATCATGATAATTCACATAATAATTTTGGCTCTTAATTATTTTATATGATTTTTTTGCAATTTTTTTCAGAGAAAAAAATGCATGTTCTTCGCGATATTTATTTCGTAATTTATACCATTACTTCCTATGTCCTATAAAGAAGACTATAATTATTTTACTAAGTCAAAAGTCAAAGTCGTAAATTAATTATACTTTCTTTGCAAGTGTGAAATCTTTCATTTCTTGGCGAAGATTTTAAGCTTTGGCAATGAAATTGTATGCTATTACCCTCTATGGTCCCGCCTGCCCTTGAATTGTTCCCCTTCGACCCCCCCGCCCTCAATCTTTTTTAAGTTCAATTACTCCGTGTTTTAAAACTATGAAACTTTTATTTGATGCATCGCTTTATAGGTTTATTTTCAACTTTGAAAAGTTATTTATGGTGATATATACAGAATTTATATCACCACAATCAGTAAAACATGCACATTTCTTCCTTTTAGTGAATTAAAAGAAATAAAACGAGAAGCAACGGCATTCTTTGAAAATATATAAAGAATACCTTTTATATTTTTACACTTGATACATGTATTGTTAATGTTGGTCTTCCAGTTAATATCGAATCGTGTTTGCATAATATGAATACTCACTTCAATTTTATATGAAATTAAAAGGTGTAAATTTTCAAACACAATAGGTCTGTTTGTAGATTGATTGAGTCCTATCTCCGTTCAAAAAAGGTAAATGATCCCAAAAAATCCAATTATAGTCAGCCTATAGGAGATTTCTAACTTATTGTTAATCAATGCTGGGGATCTGTTTGGAGACGGTGGAACATTCCTTAGCTTATGTCCTTAATCTGTGGTAAGTTTAGTAAGAGGTCATGTTTGTTACACATTTTTGTCAGCGATCTTGTCTTACAGCAATCAGTATTGATAGATTGTTGATAAAATTGTATCCTTAGTAAATACATGAATCATTTTTCACTTTAATACCTGTGTATCACAGAAACGGTTGTTATGTGATCTTTTCACATTTGTGCTCCTTGAATTCGAATTGGCATTAGTTTTATTGTTACTTGTATCTCAGTTCTTTGCTATTCTCGGGCCAATTTAAATTGTTTTATTAATAAATTGCAAACTCTCAAACCGTAGAGCACATCATAATTTCATTTTGTAATACACGTAGGTACATATAATAACATGAATGCCGCGCTCCACCTTTGTTCAAAGAGGACTTTTTCTTCATATACGCAGAAAATACACAATCAATAAAGCATAATACGCTTTAAAAAAATTAATTTTTAATATCTCGTATTAGCGTTCAATCCATTTTTAAATCAGATGAAAATAAATTTCAGCTTTGTTAACTTGATGCTAAAAGTGTAATATTAACTTTTTGAAATAGTACCAAGCCATGCAGGTGAATTTTATGAGGGAAAGCAAAATCAGCCTGTTAGTTTTATTCTGATTTTCACCATTTTGCGTTTCCTCATAAAATTCACCTGGCTTGGCATACTTTTGTAAAGTTTATATCAAAAGTTAACACTAAGCTAACATATTCTGAAATTTGTTTACATCTGTAAACCTTAACTGAGTGTGATTTGTCCGTATTTGTTATTTTATTGAAGTATTTACTATTTTCCAAGTCTAGGAGGGGGGGGGGGTCAAAGAATTATCCACTTTCTTAAACCTATGAGATATTAATTAAGTCTCCACCAAAGAAAACAATTTATTGTATCATCTGTCCTTAACTTGTACTCGACTTCCGTTCAGGTGAACATAACATTTAGACATATATAATCTTGGGCGAGAGCGGTTGTTGGAATGGGTCGGCAAAGTTTCTACTACCCTCCCTACTTTTTTCTGAACTTTTTTTTTTAGAATTTAGAACAAAATAATGCATTTAAAGACTTCGCCAATTAATTTAACTTATTTTAACATACCCTTCTCCAGAAAATTAAAAACTGGAGAGAATTGTTTTCTTTTTGTGAGGGCTAGTCAATTTTTTTTCCAGACTTGATCTGATTCCCTCCTTATTATAGGTTTGTCTTTAAACGTGCGTAAAATTGATACATTTCTTATTCGTAGCAAAAATAATATTAAATTTCAAATGAATATAAGTGGAAATGTTCAATATGTTCATGTGCGCTCATCCATTGCGTTTGGCGAGGCGACAGCAAAATATTTGGAAAAACTTCACAACATTTTTGAACAAGAAACCATACCATCGGTTTGGATGAAATGCCTGATATCGATGATTCCAAAGAAAGGTGAAAGATCGGTATGTGAAAATTATAGAGGTATCACACATTTGTTTGTGTCGAGCAAAGTATTCTCCAGAAAAATGAAACAATTACATGACTGTATTATGTACAAAGGATCAAAGATGGACTAGAAAAAAAAAAAGCTGCGTGAGGAACAAGCTGGCATTAGAGGAAGGAGGTCAACTATCTACACTTCGTAACACAATAGAACAAGGTACCAAATAAAACTAAATATTGTTTGCAAACTCCGTTGATTTTTAAAAGGCATTTTTATTACATCAATAGGGAGAGCCTTAGGTCTATGATGAAGTTATACGGCAACCCAGATACACTAATCAGAATGGTAAAACTCCAATATAAATCATTTTAATGTGCAGTCCTAAAAGATAGGAAAGAATCTAA